AAAAGTTTGACGTCAAATATTCGTTAAGAGAAAAAAAAAAACAAAAAAAAATAATAAATAATAAACATTACACTTTCCCACTAAAAAAATGCATTGCTCTGAAGTTTGGAAATGTTTGGTTGCAATACAGAGGAGATAGCTTAAAAACAATCAGTCTTGCTGGAAATCTACTAAAAAAAAACAGAAGATTTTTCAATAAAAACTACGCTATTTGTATATATTATTGGACAGCCACATAAAAACATATTTTCTAAACTTCCACTTTTTTTTTAGTATTAAAACTGATGACAATCTAACGGTTTCAACAGTAAGCAAAAAGTAGCTAAAAAAAAAGAAAAAAACGATCATTTAGTAATCAGTTAACACACATAAATTTTTCCACACAGTAATTTCATCAACTATAAAAAATCTTCTGTTTTCTTGTCTTTTATTAGCTTTTTACTCATAAATTTCCATCTGAGGTAGAAAATGACTGAATAAACAGCATCTAACAATTAAACAATTACATAAAACCTAAGCACAAATGAATAACGAACACTTTTAAACAGTAGTTTCGTAGCTCTGCTTAATCAAATATTTCGCATCTTCCGCGGTACAGATTTGACCCCTAAAAAAGTAGCATTACAACAATGTATCAGATAAATCTTCGAGATTTACGTCGTTTCAAAGAAGTTTTACCAAAACAATGTAGTAAAAGAATTTGTAAAAATGGCTAAAGCCGTCAGAGACGTTGTTGACAACCTTCAAAAAACTAATTTGCCCAAGCTGCTGTTGTCACATAAACCTACCAATAAATTTGATTCTTAAGACATCAAATTTCAGAAAACTATTACAATTTTTTTTTGCATAAATTAAAATAATACAGCTGTTGGCCATCTTGATTGTCGGTCAGTAAAGACAGACTTGAGTGAAAAAATCGCGACACAAAAGCTGATAGCCTCAGAACGAATAACAGAGAAAATTTTAAACAAAAATAAGTTTTTTAAGAAAGGAGAAGTGAAAACGAAAAAAGACGAAAAGAAAAGAGTATGAGAGCAGCTCTTAAAAAAAACAGAATACTTTGTTTAAGATCAATTTTTGAAAGAGTTATCTGGTTTTGACAAATAGAAATTGTGGCTGTAAAATTCTACTTACTATGAAATATTTCGTATACCTGCTACGGCAAATCTATAGTATAATAATGAACTTTCTATCTCAATGCTTTTTTTTTTGTTCCTAAAGAAACTTCAACATAGGTGATTCAAGAAAAAGAAAGCACAATCCTGGTTACGATTTCAAAATCTAACATTCTTAAAGTTTACCCAAGAAAAAACAACTGCCCCTGAACCTCTTTTCTTACCACTTCTTGCCACAGCACCCTTCAATTTCACCGTTACAACACTAGATGTTCGCTACTTCAGTACAGTTGCTGAGTTATGAAACTAGGCGGATGGAGAATCTTAGTCGGGTTACTCATCAAAAGTATTGTTAAAAAATACGCGACAGCAATAGAAGAAGAAAACATCATTCAGCCAGAAGATAACTGGAAATATAAGAGTAACAAACAAAATTTTTTTACAAGAATATTTAAGAGATTGAAAACAGTAGGACTGAAATATATAAGAGGAGACTCAGACGGTTTATACTGCTATTTTTCATTCTGCTACTTCTTATCCCTAACCACAAGACCGACAGTAAAAAAAAAGTATTTTACATAATAAATCTTAAACTACTTGTTGTCTTTGATCAAAATACAAGAAAATAAACATTACAAAGACAAGGTTTTCCAATAAAAATTGCTAAAAACTTACGCAGATTAAGAATTCGTTTCTCAAATATTTATTATTCTAAGTATGCACGCAAAAGATGCGATTAACACCCTCCTAAAAAGTTTCTAATGCTATAGCAAAAATAATAATGTTAGTTTTTATTCATTAATTTCTTTTGTAACGTTCGCCACAACCCTACGCGAAACTGCTAATAAATGTTTTTCATTTTTCTTTTTTTGTTCAAAACCTGCACTTTTACATTACATTCCACAAAAATCCGCAGATTTTTTCCTCGCGTCCAACGTAAAAAGTCACTTATAACCTTTCAAATTGTTCTTTTTTTGACTTTTTTCTACCCAGATGGCAACCTTAACGAAAAGAGATAAAAATAAACAGCAACATTTTCCAAATAACACAGTCTCCCCTCCTACTTTTAGTTCCGTTTCGGCACCTCCAAGAAAGAGCCGAGGTCAGGTATTCAAGAAAAACGGTAGTGAAATCTGACAAGTGGAAAAGCCAATGAAGGAAAAAATTCTTTTGTTCTGCAGAGAGAAAAGAAGCGGTGAGCGAAGAAAAAAAAAACAAAGAACAACCTTATTACTAAGTGATGCCAATGTAATTTGAAACCATTCCTAACTAAAAAATATATTTCTCTAAAAGTTTCAACAAAACCTACTGAATTTATTTCTCAGTATCACTTAACTACGAAGTCAATTTGATAAATAAAAGCACTTACGTAGTTTGATTTGTACTCTTCATCTCATCGGGCATTTTTAAAGGCTTAAACTTGTTATCGTCACCTAAACCTGTCCAGGTTCGTCGATGATCTGCCATCAGATCAGCTTGACGTAACTGTAAAATTAGATTAATCAAAAAAGAATATTTATATGTAGTCTTTTCAATCAAAACAGAATACGTTTACAAGTCGCATAAGCTGAAGTCGCTTAACACACACACACACGCAC